GGCCGGAGGGTCTCAGGAAGCCACAGCACATTGAGCTCCTCCTCTTGGAGCTTAAATTTTGAGGCGGTTTTGAACCACAGAGGCAGTTCCCACTTCATTTTGGCCATTGAGGCTCTGCTCCCCCTGAGCCTTGGGCTTCCCCATACCACATTCTGTGCCCAAGTGGCAACTAGCCACTGTCAGAGGTGGTCAATGCCACCCATGGTTGGATTCCAGCCTCAGCACCTTGGGGTGCTGAGCTTAAATGGGCTGTCGGCTGGGCCCATCACTGCAGCCATATTCTCTACTACTGTCTTTGCTACTTTTCCTCTGGGAAATTTGAGTGAGGAAACCCAGTCTCGAATGGGGCAATGCCTGCAGTTGCAAAGAGCCTTCTCTTGCGCAGCATCACACCCCCGTTTTGGCCTAGCATGGACCATTACTAATCGGTGTGTAAACTTCACGGCTCCTTTGTGCCCTCCTTGTGCCCAGCAGCTTCTCAATACAAAGCACGAGGTCGGAAAGTCGGGAGGACTTTCAGCCCCACGGCACCATCCCTCCTGTGTCCCTGTCCCCTTGTGTTGTCCCTCGCTGGGACAAAGACCTCCATATGCAGAGTGTTTGCAGGGTCCAAGGGAAGGCTCCCACCTCCCTGTGCAGAGCTGGAGGCTGGAGGGGCAGGAAACAGAGAGGGCTCCCTATGCCCCACAGCAAGGACCCTGCATCGGTCCTAGCTGTGATGGACATCTAATTGCAGGAGGCCAGACTTCATTCAATAGCTCATTGGTTTTTTCTTAAGCAAAGGCTGTTCAGGGTCTGAGCTGCTGTTTTTCACTGCTAAAAGACTGAAGGAAAGTGCAAATATTTCAGCTTTTTCACCAAGGCAGCCCCAGAGCATTCAAGGAGAAACCACTGCAGCCAGAAAGGTTGACTTTGTTTCCTCGTGTTATTTGTGTTGTGACAGCTTACAGAGCCCTAATAGCTCTCCCAATGCAATTGCCTTAGGGACATCCACATGCAGTGGCACATGTTGCTCCCCACGAACCTGCCACCGATCCTGCAACGGGGCACGCAGCAACCTGGGCAGCTTGCTCAAAACACCCACCCTACCCACATGGGAGCCACATCTGGCCACCCCTTTCCTGGGAGCTTCTCCCTGCACATCTGCATGTCCTGAAAATTACCATTTTGGAGGAAAAGGAGCCAAGAAAAGCTCCCTTGTTCTATAGCCCATGCGCTGTGGCGGTGGTAGAGGCGTGCAGGGAAGGATCGTGGTTCTCCCTGCCTGCTGACAGAGATGGGTAATAGCCTGCAAGAGCTGTGCCTGTATTTACGTTGTATAACCCTGACACGCCGCGTGTTTGTTAGGAAAAGCGATCCTGCTAGGTTAAACATTACATATATAGCTTTAAATTATATTAGAGGTGGGGCTGGTAGCTCTGCTTTTTATTAACGTTTCCCAACACTTCACATTACGAGACCCTGTTCTCGTCTGCTTGTAACATCGCCGCGCGTGCTGCACTTGGGTTGAAATTTTCCATGCGCCTCCGTGTTGTTTCTGAGAACCGGTTTCAGCACTTTCCGAGAGCAAGGCTAAGGGGCAACGTGCCCACGCGGCACTCGCGGCACCGCAGCGTCTCTGCAAAGATCAGGCCTGGCTCTCGGGAGCGGGAGCTGGGGCTGGTGTTGGCGCGGGGACCATAAGGGGCATTTCTCTGCCTCCCTGCAGAACTCCCCAGGTTGCACGCCTTGGAAAACCAAAGGCTCTGCAAGCTCAGTTGAGCTGTGGAGCAAGCAGAGAGCATCTCCGTCGCCTGCAGTGCTGCTGCATCATCCCCCGGGGGCAGGTTGTCCCACGGGGATGTAGGATCAGCGCACTGACAGCAAGTGGTTGGTCTGACTCATTGGTCCATGGGTCACACTCCCAGGGGTCTGTACGGCCCCGTGGGCGTCCCATGCGTTGCATCGACTTTGCTCTGAGCACTAGATGACAGGACTCAGGCAAAGCAACAGGATTTGATCACGGCACCGCAAACTATTTCAAGAGGAGCATGGGCAGGGTGGCAGAAAGCTGTGTGCAGGCAGCACCTTGAACATTTGTAGTGCTTGACCTGAGCATAAGTATGTTTGTTTTTTTTTTTTTTGCATGTTCAAGTATTTTATGTATATGAATAGCATGGCTCTATATACTCTCTGTGTTCTTTGCCACATCACTCGAATGCCACATCACTGTCTCAAAGAGATCAAACCAAAAGCGTGTCAGAAACCAGCCTAAATGCCCTCGCTTTGCTGTTTCCTTGCTTTCTGCACCGCACTAAACTTTTGCAATCTCAGCAGCAAACTTGGCCTGGCTCAGGCAGCTTCGCTTTTTATCATCATGTGCCTTAGTTGTGAAGCTGCAGACGACAATATTTATCTATTGGGAAAAAAACAAAAACAAAAAAAACCACAACAGTGACTGCATGGCCAGTTTGGGAAAACATTCTTGCTGCTTGCTGGTGTTTCCTCGCCCTGGAAATCCTGCCTCTGCACATAAAGGCAATCAGGATGGGTGCTCTGCCATCCTGTGGCTGCTTTTAAGAACCACCTCCAAAACGCGTGTAGTTGTTGGAGGCTGGAAGGGCAAGTGTGTGTATATATGTGTATATGTGCGTGTGTGTGTGCCGGCCTTGGAGGCTGCACGCTGTAACCCCTGGAGCGCCCAGGCGTGCCCATGCTCTCGCCTGGGTAGCAGCTCCAGCTTCAAACGAAAGCTCCTGAGACACCCAGTGGTCATTGGAAGCATAAGAGCAGTTTGCCCGCGGAAGCTTCTCTCCTCTGTAGGTAGCCTTTATCTTTTCTTTTCTTTTTGTCATTTCCAATTAAGCTGTTTTGAGTTCACTGCAAGCTCCTAAAGGGCTGGGGCTGCCCATCTCAGGCACCAGTCTCCTCTGGTTGAACCCAAACAAGCCCAAGGAGTCCTGATGCTCAACGTGCCAAAGCCCCTCCGTTGCAGGGCCAAAGTCCTCCTTGGAGGACAGAGGAACTGGTCCAAGGGCTGGGGGCCAGCCCCACACTGAGCCTCCAGGTGACCCAGTCCCTACCACCACCTCCTGCCTTCTTGAAGGTCTCAAACCCATCCTCTTCTCCTGATGTGTCAGAAAGGGGGAGATGCACCCAGGCACCTTGCTGCCTCGCTGACTGCACTCTTGTTTTTGCAGGCAGGACAAGCTCAAGATCCACATGCGGAAGCACACGGGCGAGCGGCCCTACTTCTTGAAGGTCTCAAACCCATCCTCTTCTCCTGATGTGTCAGAAAGGGGGAGATGCACCCAGGCACCTTGCTGCCTCGCTGACTGCACTCTTGTTTTTGCAGGCAGGACAAGCTCAAGATCCACATGCGGAAGCACACGGGCGAGC